GCCCTGCCCGCTCACGACCCGTTCTGCGCCCGCCCAGCGGTGGTCCCGCTCGGCCCGGCCCGACCCGGCCGCACCCCACCCCACCCCACCTCCAGCCCCGGTTGGGCAAGGACTCTGCGCCGGCGCGGAAGTGTTGGGCGGCGGGGCCAATAAGGGTGGGACTCGCGGGACCCGGTGAAGAGGCGGGCACAAGGAGGGGCGGGGCGCAAGAGGGGCGGGGCGCACACCTAACCCTGATGGCCCAGAAGGTGCATGGCTCACCTGCTGTTGCTCATGGAATCGGATTCATTTCCACACAGGTAACTCCTTCGGCTACAGATTTCTTTCTGAGTTAACCACAACTCAGGTAGGTCGTGTAGGTCATGTAGGTCTCTTTGAATGACTAGTATTTGTTTCCTCCACTAGAAGTCTTGGTTCAGGTGTTCTAGCTAATGATAGTTTTTTCTGACTTATCTATTAGAAGTTTACCAATGTTTAAAATCTTTCTGAAAAGCCATAGTTTGGTTCCATTTATTTTCTCTTTCTAGTTTATTGATCTTTGCTCATTATTACTCATTTAGTGTTTGATATTCTTTTTCTGGTTGTTTAGAGATTATCAATTGAGGACTTTTTGACTTTAAATTTATCCACTTAAAGCTATGAGTTGCCCTCCCATCATTGCTTTAGCTGCATTCTACTGCATTTGATATGGTGAGCGTTTTCACTTGGCCAAAGATAGTTTTTAACTTCTCAATTATTTTTTTTCTCCCACCCGTTTGCTTGAAGAGTGTTAATTTCCACACATTTAAGTGCATTTTCGCTTCTCTAGATATTGTTATTTCACATTTGAGTCTGTTGTGGACAAAGAAGGTGCTCTAACATTTCTGTCCTGCGAAATGTATTGAGACTCATTTCACAGTCCAGAATGTTCCTTACCTGGTGACTTTTGCATGTGCAATTTTAAAAGAGTATACTTTCTGCAGCTCAGGGGCTGTATAACTAACTATTCTATAAATAATCAATTGACACCATCTTCATCTTTCTGGAGTAAGATGGAATCTCGTCGTTGTTTTAATTTATGTTTCTTTAATGGCTGGAGATATTGAACATTTTTTTCATGTATTTTTGGCCATTTGTATTTCTTCTTCTGAGAAGTGTCTGTTCATTTCAGCTGCCCATTTAAAAAATTGGGTCTTTTGGCCAGGGATTTATCTCAGTGGTTCCAGCGCCTGCCTTGCAAGTGCAAGGTCCCGAGTTCGATCTCTGGTACAAAAAAAAAAAAAAAAGGGTCTTTTATTTTGGGGAGTCTAATTTTTTGGAATTCTGTATATATTCTAGATATTAGTCCTCTGTCCAAGGAATAGCTGGCAAAATTTTTCCTATTTTTTTACATTATTCTGTTCTTGGTTGTTTCCTTTGCTGTGCAGAAGCTTTCTAATTTGATACTATCCCATTTGGTGATTTTTGGTGTTATCTCTTGTGCAGTTGGGGTTCTGTTCAGAAAGTCCTTGCCTGCATGGGTGTTTTCAAGGGTTTTACATATTTTATCTTCCAATAGATTATTTTTGTTATAATATTTAGATCTTTGATCCATTTTTTAGTTTAGTAAATGGTGAGAGAGATGGTTTAGATCAGCGATGGCGAATCTTTTAGAGATTGAGTGTGCAAACTACAACCCAGAACCCATTTATTTATTGCAAAGTGCCAACACTGCCGTTAAACCTGAACGCTTGGCTGCTGGGGCCATGCTGGGGTGACTTGGCTCATGTGCCAACAGAGAAGGCTCTGTGTCCCCACTGGGGCGTGTGTGCCATTGGTTTGCCACCACTAGTCGAGATTCAATCTTCTGCATTTGAGTAGCCAGTTTTCCCAGCATAACTTGTTTAAAAGCCTGTCTTACCTCAAGGGTTAGTTTTTGGTCCCTTTGTCAAAGATCAGGTAGCTGAAAGTGCTTGGAGTTGTTTCTGCAACATCTGTTCTGTACCATTAATCCATATATTTGGGTGTTTGGGGGTTTTTTTTGCCATACCATGCTGTTTTTATGACTATCTTTGTAGTGTAATTTGTAGTCTGGAATTATGATTCCTCCCTCCTGCTCTTGTTGCCAAGGATTGCTTTTGCTATTCTAGGTCTCTTCTGGTTACATATGACTTTTAGGATTGTTTAGTTCTGTGAGGAATACTATTGGTATTTTGATTGGGACTGTGTTAAATCTGTGTATCAGTTTTGGAAGTATGACCATTTTGACTATACAGCTGCATCTGAATGCCAGAATCTTGGAAAGAATTAAATTTGCAAACCAAGGTACCACTATATTTGTTCTGCTGATCCAGAAATAAGGGGATATCTTTCCATTTTCTGATGTCCTCTTCAATCTCCTTTTTCAGAGCACTGTATTTTTCATTGTAGAGTTTTTTCTCTTCCTTGGTTACATTAATTTCTAGGTATCTAATTTTTCTTAATGATATTGTGAAAGGTATTGTTTCTCTAATTTCTTTATTGGTTAGTTTATTATTGATGTACAGGAACACTACTGATTTTGTGTGTTGGCTTTGTATCCTGCTACAGTACTGAATTTGGTTATTAATATAAGACGTTTTTTGGGTCCTCTATGTAGAGGATCATGTCATCTGCAAATAATGATAATTTGACTCCTCCCTTTACTATACATATCCCTTTTATTTCTTTTTCTTGCCTGATTGCTCTGGCTGATGTTTTGAGAACTGTATTGAACAGTAGTAGTGATAGTGGACATCATTGTCTTTTTCCTGATTTTTGTTTGTTTGTTTTTGTTTTTGGTACCTGGGACCGAACTCAGAACCTTGTGCTTGTGAGGCAGGCACAGTTCCACTGAGCTAAATCCCTGGCTCTAGTTTTTGTGTTTTGTTTTGCTTTGTTTTGGTACTGGGCCTGGCTCTAGTTTTGTTTTGTTTTTGATATAGGTTCTCATTATGTAGTCCAGGCTGGCTGTGAACTTACTATGTAGCCCAGGCTAGCCTTGAACTTACAGCAGTCCTCCTGCCTCAGCCTCCCAAGTGCTGGGATTTCAGATTGTTCCTGATTTCAGAGGGAAAGCTTTCAGTCTTTCCCCATTTAATATGATGTTGGCCATTGGTTTGTCATAAATGGCTTTTATTGGATTGAAATAAGGTCCTTCTATCCCTATTTTCTATTTTCTTCAGGGTTTTTATTATGAATGGATGTTGGATTTTGTCAAAGACTTTTTTGCATCAATTGAGATAATCATGGAATTTTTATCCTTGCTTCTGTTTATGTGATGAGTTACACTTATTAATTTGTGTATGATGAACCATCTCTGGATCCCTGGGATGAATCCTACTTGATCATGATGTATGATCTTTTCAATGATTTGTTGCATCCTATCATAGTTACTTCACTTGGCTCTGAGACACAATATTGACACCCCAAATTTAAGAAGAAAAGGTTTATTTGAGCTCACAGTTTATAGAGGTTTCAGTTAGCTGGCTTCGAGGGAGGGCAGCATGACATAAGGGCATGGCAGAGGAGAACAGCTCAAGGCATGCAGCAGGAAGTCAAGCAAGTGACCAAGGGAGGAAGGGGGAGATAGAGTCTTCCAGGCCACACTTCCGGTCACCCATCTCCTCCAGCCATACTGATGAGTATCAACCCCATGATCCAGTCGCCTCCCAAAAGCCCCACCTATGAACACATAAAGCTTTGGTGTGTGTGGGGGGGGGACGTCAAGATATAAACCATAACACATCCTGTTTGCCAGTATCTTGCTGAGGATTTTTGATCAATGTTCATTGAGATTGGCCTTTTCAGCTGGGTCCTTTTATGGCTTTGGAATCGGGATTGATAGCTTTCTGGAATGTCTTTGAGAGTACTCCTTCCCTTTTTAATTTATTAAAGAGTTTGAGGAGTAATGGCGTTAGATCTTCCCTAAAGTTCTTGTGGAAATTGGGAATGAATCCATCAGGACCTGGGCTTTTCTTGGTAGTTTTTTTTTTACTGTTTCATTGTCTGATATGGGACTATTTGGGGTTTTTATGTTTTCTTGCTTCAGCTTTGGTAGGAATCTGTCCATTTCTTCTGAAGTCTCCATTTTACTACAGGTTTTCATAGTTGATAATAGTCTGGATTTCAGCAGAGTTCACTGTGATTTCACCTTTTTCATCTATAATTCCATTGATTTAAGTCTTTCCTTCAAAAAAGTCTTTTTAAACACTGAAACAACAGAGTTTACCAAAATATTAATAATTGTACTGTAACTCATCTCAAAGTATCTTATTTTTCAACTTGGAATTATATTCACATCTATGACTTATAGTGAAAGTGTTACAAGGCAGTCTCCTTCTAAAAGTGGCTTGCCAACTAAATGTTACCAGGTTTTGAGTTGCTTGCCTCTCCTTGAGTTAGATTCCAGTTTCTTCTTGTCTCGAACAAAGAACTGAATGAAACAAGCAAAAAAACGTGAAAAAACCTAATTGAAAAAAGAAAAAGGAAAAAAAAAAAACCCCACCCGCAAAAGGAAGTTGGGCCGAAGAAAGAAAAAAAAAAAAAAAAGCAGGATAAAACTGTACCCTGAGGGACACTGGGCAGGATATGGTGAGGAAGGCCACCATAGCGAGCTCTTCGCGATGTCTGTGGTCTTTTATGCCATCCAAATCTCGAGGAAACCCATGAGAACTTCTACATCCAGTTCCTGAGAGTCCATGCTGGGATCCCATACCTCAGGCTGACATCAGGTCCAGGCCATCCTGTTGAAAACCTGCTGGAGTTCTCCTGAGAAGTTCACGGGGAGAGCTTTGGGAGCTGCTCTGCACATGTGTCTAGGATCTTGTATTTAACAGGTCACGCCCACTTACCCAGTCAGCTTTGCTATGCCCTAATCTCTTGACTCATTAGGATACAAAGAATTCAGCAAAGGGAA